AGCTTCTGGAAATCTCAATTTGTAGCCCAAGTACATGCGGCCAAGATGAAACTTCCTGACATCCTTGGGATCCCAAATCAAGCCCTTCCTGAAGTCAGATCCCTCTCTATACTTTCAATTACCTGAGCTGATACATTTATTTCACTTAACATTGTTTGAAACTGTTACTGTCACTTGAAGCCAAAAGAATCTGTCACTAGGGTTTTCTGTCACTTGAAGCCAAAAGAATCTGTCACTAGGGTTTTCTGTCACTTGAAGCCAAAAGAATCACCCTAATATAATAATCTTTCTAAACATGTTTTATTCTATCAAGCTATGTTCGTCTGCCTTTTCTGTACTTCAGGACACTTCCCTCTCTGAAGTAAAACACTCCTGATGCTTCTTGTGCCAAGAACTCCATTTTACATAAAACAGAAGACCCAGTTTTCCTAATTTGTTTCAAAAGACTTTATTTTTAACCAAAGCTGTTAAGTCTCCTGTTTCCAGTTTTGTAGGGAAAACAACTGAGATGTTTACTTTCTCTCCATCTTCTCAATTCTCATTGTTCATTTAACCCTAAACCCAAACCACTACAAAAAATTATTAAAATGAAGAACAACACTGAACGTCTAAAAACATTTTAAACACAAGCAGTAAGTGTCACTGCTTCCTCATGAAAGGAATTGAACCTTAACTTTTTAATTAATCTTGCAAACTGTTATGCAGCTTTAACCACATCCACTAGACTGTTCACTGCACCAGATGACATCACTTCTCCATCGTTCCCTCGGACCAGTCCCCACCCCCGGGTGGCCATCCAGACCCCGCCCCCAAAGGCTGCAAGTAGGAGTCCATCTGACGTCATACGGCTCCCAAAGCAATACGTGAACACGTCCTGCATCGTCACGTGTTCACATTATTACACACCACTAAACAACCTTATCTGCAACACCCAAACACACTGCCAATCTCATTTCCGGAAAGAAAGTGAGATTTCTTTCGGGAAGAAAGCAATCTCGGGCTGGAAGAAGGCGATGCAACCATTTTGGCTTATGACGGTTTACTGAGCTGGGCCAACTGCACTTCCTTTTTCTCTGTCCAAAGACAATCTGGGGATGGTGAAGGGGCAAGTGTCCACCCATAAAACATATGAGCATAAATGAAAATGGTGAGTGAAAATGACATTTAAAACCAGCTCTGTGTTCATTACAAACCCTCTATAGGCTCCTTTTAGGAACAGACTTGGCCGCGTGGCTCAGTTGGTTGGAGCATCGTTCTGGACACCAAAAGGTCGTGGGTTCGATCCCTGTACGTACGGGAGGCAGCCACTGTGTGTGCCTGTCTTCTGTGTCTTCTCTCTCTCTCCCACCCTCCCTTCCTTCCTCCCTCTCAGAAAATCAGTGAACATGTCCTCCAGTAGGATCCTCAAGTGAGGATTTAAAGAAAAGAAACAAATTTTTACGACCTCAAGTAAGCAAACAGATAAGCATACCAACAACGAGTGATTTGTTGTGCTACACTCAAAACTTGATTCCTTTGTGTGCTGTGCTTTCTGCTGAGGTTTAGGATTTACCATTAAAGTAGCCTGAGGCTCGCTTTCCCTCTCAGGAGCAGGCCCGGCGCCTGTCCCTTCCTCCCGTTCTTCCCGGCCCCTCCAGGGGAACTACCTTTGCCTTCCTTCTCCTGAGCCCTTCTTCTGCTTCTGTAACTTGTTTCCTAGGCTTCCTGGCTCGCTTCTACTGCCTCTACCACTGTCTAAACTTTCTCTTATAATTTTAAGACATAAATAAATAATAACAGAGCCGAAGACTGGGGGTCCGCTGACTTGTTTTGGTAAGCACCTCCAAGCACACAACCCCATCCAAAGGACACGCTCCCTCCCAGTCTGGTGTTACCACACGTAAACAATTAGGGCTTTTAAACACAGTCATCTCTACGTACCCATACCACCTGTACCTTATAACTGAGGTAACCATTAGCTTATACAGATAAGTATTCATCATATTTCTAAAATTAATAAATATGGCCAAAAATTTAGTTTAAAATTGAGGGTTTGGTCATTCTATTTCCATATTACACTTTTGATTCATTGAAAGCACAATCTCACAATGGAACTTCGAGTTCACAGGAGCCTCATAAAATTCTTCAAGGGCAAGAATCACATCTGTCTATCACTATTCCATGTCTTACATACAATAGGCACTCTGTGCCTACTGTTGTTGAATAAATAAAGGTATTAACACTAAAATGAGTGGTTTCAGACTATGTTATAACTACAGGGGTTACTATTACTACGTCCTTGCTTTTACGAAGTAAGCAGGAGTTGGCAGGCTTTTTTGTGAAGGAACAGATGGTAACTATTTTAGGTATTATGGGTCACGTGGTCACTCACTACTCAACCCTGGTCTCTCTCACAACTTAAACAGCTCAGCTGTCAGAGCACAAAAGTAGACATAGATAATACATAAACCAATGAGCATGATTGTGTTTGAATAAGACTTTATTTACAAAATCATCCATAATCCATAAAAACATTCAAACCCCAAGGAAACCACTTTCCAACAATGAACACTCTATTCCCTAAAGGTCGGAAATTGGTGAACTTGCTAAATTCAGCCAGACATGTTTTGTTGAGTCAAAAATTGGGCAAGGCATATATTCTCTTTTTCCACAGTGCCCATCACTCCTTACTGAACCAGCTAATTTCCGTCCCATTACACTCCTGGCCCCTGCAAGCCTCTGAATTTACTCCCTGAATTCTATACTACACACGGTTCCCAGGGATGTGGCCCATATCCCTGTGAATGTATAACCACAACACAGGCTCCTTAAAAGCAGGCCCATGAGTTTAAATTTTTTGCCTTTCATCTACCACTTAATCTCAACACCTAATGAACTTTAACTATTCACTGGTTGCCTATTATGGGATGTATTCTGCACGGTCTCCGCGAAGGGGCTGTACAAGAGTGATAAGGGTAGAAAAGAGGATGGGCCAGCAGGGACGTGGTCAGTCACAGGGAAAGCAGCTGGAGTCACTACAGGACTGAAAAACCACACATCTCCCAACTGTGGCTCAATCTTCTCTCTGCGGCCTGGATTCCTCCTTCATCTCACAGCAGAAGTAAAGGGGCAAAGGTAGGACCACCGGGACCACCTGCACTGTAGCCATAATGAGGATAAAACCTTGTTTAATCTTCATTTCTGCCAGAGGGTGCTCTGGGTGGGTAAACACAAAAAAATTACCTGCATCTAACAGAATGAACAAGCTGTTGTATTCCCATATGATGGAATGCTCAATAGTAATAAAAATGAATAATCTATAACTACATGCAACAATATGGTGGAAACTCTCTAATACATTGTTAAATGAGAAAAACCAGACACAAAAAGTACAATCTGCATTACATATTACAGAGAGCGAGAGAGAGAGAGAAACAGCAAAATGAATTTACGCTGTTTATAGAAGTCGAGAGAGTAGCTACCCGTGGAGCAGGGCAGCACCTAGGAGGCAGCCCGAGGCTATGATGGTAAAGTTTTGTTTCTTGATCTGGGTGCCAGTTACATGAATGAGTGCACTTTGTGAAATTATGTTGATCTGTACACTTACAATATGTATATTTTCTGTATGCATGTTTTATTTCAATAGAAAATAAAAAAATATATCATTACCCCATGCCTTCATGGTCCAGGGCCAGAAAGCCAGCTGAAGACCCCACGCAGGGCCCACATGCCTTCGCTTCGTCTGTCCTTCAAGCCTGCTGCCCCATATGGAGCCCCTCTCAACTCCTCCTCTTTTCAAAGCATAACCAGACAGAGGCCAAGGAGCAGCAAAGCAAACCAGACCACTCCGTGCTGCCTGCAGGAAGCCCTGTCACTGCCCCTTCCGAACGCCGGTGTCTTCGGAAGACACTTTACTGCTGTCACTGACTCTTTGTTCCACATGAGAAAAAAGAATACAAGATGCCTCTGCTGCCCCAAATGGCTCCCTTCAACGGACTTCTTTAAAATAATGCTCTAAATGGGCAAGTCACATTTATAAACATCTATGAAGAAATGCTTAGATACTCAGGGACCACTTGAGGAAGATACCATAAATAAAATGTAACTGAGATTAGAATGTAGAACAACAGCCAGCCACTGTGCAATAACCACAGAATTCTAATAACTGATTATGTAATAGGCCGTAATGTATAATTACAATCACAGCCGAACACATCTTTAAGATTTTATGTAAAGTTTCAATTCAGGTAGTCAAATTATGGGCTGAGAATCATTGTGAATCACTCTAACGTGGATTTTAATATAGTAATGTCAACTTGACATCACCACTCGTATTCTTTACACATTCTCCTAATAATTTCGGGTTAAAAAATCAAGTGAGACCTTTGATCACATCAGCTCCCGATGACTGGTCCACTTGTGAATGCCGACCAGGAAGACGCAGGAGTGGTGACCAGATCCAATGACCTAACAGCAAACATCGGCCACGGCGGGCGGGCAGGTGACGAGGACAGAAGAAAGCGTGGTGTCCCCTCCTACACAGGCACCATATATCGCACAAATTCTAATCCTTGACACTCAGATGCTTCTCAGAGCAAATTCGTACTGCCCATCTGTCCATGAAATAAACCACCGCTTAAACATTTTGTTAAATCTGACCTTATTTACACCAGTTAATAAGGAGCATAAACTCAAAATTACATCTTTTAATAGGAAATTATAACTATGTTTAATTAATTATTATGGGTCGCATAGTTTATGAATGTTCTAAAATGCCTCTCAAAGAAGAATATCCTTTTTAGGAGCTGCATCCCCAAGAATTTAGGATAAAATATCATGATGCCTGTAACTTGAATGTTTTGGCAGGAAAATATACAAATCTGTACACACACACACAATGTGGCCAAATGCCAATTGTTAATGTAGGTGGTGGATACACAGGAACTCCTGCACATTCCTTTAACTCTTTAGTATGTCTGAAAATTTTGATAATAAACCATTACACAGAAATGTTTACTTACCTTTCAAGTGGATGGCTGTCTTCTTTCTCCTAATCAAAAATGAATGGCGAAATGTGCCCAAAGGCACATTCAGGGACCGTTCATGCTGCCCTCTCCCTGAAAGAATCAGCAAAACGACATGTTATCACCAAAGATCTGTATTAAGTTAATGCTACTTCACTTAAAAAATGTTCTCAACATAAGACAAGTCTCTAGATTAAAATACTGCTGCAACTATTTCTTTCTTAAGGAAGGAAAAAGGAGAAAAGAATGATCCCATCGCATACTAAATGGGAGGATAACGCCCCTGGGAACTTCTGGAACAAAGGAATTCCTAACTTTCTTTCACCTCAATTGCAGGCAGTGACTAGCCCAAACCTCCACTCAAACAAAAAGTGGAGCTTCAAGAACCTGAGCTCCACTCCGACTTTGGGTTTCTGAGACCGCACCTGGAAGGCATCCACGGACACACACAGAACCACAGCAGAACTGCGGATCCTCTGGAGTCCTTTCAGGAAGAGGTGCTGGACCCTGTCTACTACCACACTCGATGACAGCGCCTGCCATGAGGCACCGTGGCACCATGGTCTGCTAGTCACATTTGCTGCTGCCTCCACCACACCTCACGTTTTGGCGTTATCTGTAACAACAGATCCTCCCCCAACTGCCCTGTGAGGTGAGCGGAGTTTACTGATTCCATTCCCCAGAGGAGGCAGCTAAGCCTCAGAGATGATGTATGACAAGAGCATTTGAACAGAAAATGCATGAGATGAAACTCCAACTTAGGTCTCCTGACCCTAAGTTCAGGGCTGGTCTCACCATATAAGTTATTCCCACCCCTTCTCACTGCCCCACCCCCCCACAACACGATGCTCTCCTAAAAACCAGCCTCAAAGCAAAATGGCCAAATAACACATTCACCTGCCACTGGGAGAGGGAGGGTGCCACAGTTTGTATGTGTATGTGTATATATGTATATACACATATATGCGCACACATGTACATATACACACATATATGTCCATTTCCCCCCTTCTTCCTCAAGAAAGCACACTGTTGGCCAATGGAAGTAAAGCCAGCACCACATGGCAACCTTGGAGATTTTTACCTTTGCCACAACAAAATGCAATAACTTGCTGTTGAGGACTTCCCATTTATTTTTGTAAAATGCAAAATACAATATAATATAATGGCATAGACACAGATCCACAACAAAGATGGAAACAGCATTTAAAAAAAACAACTACAGCTGGTGAGAATATAGTGTCCCTATATAATGGTCTAAAGTAGCCTTTCATCTGCTGGTCACAAAAATTATGCAAGCACAGGGCCTTATAGGTATCAGTGTTCTAACCTGAACCTGGGAAGGTGCTGGAGAACAAAAGCCTGAGGAAAGGTAGCCAGGGAACCCCTGCACTGGCTTTCAGTTCTGTCTCCTCCATCGGTACCTTGAGTAAAGACCCAGAGAATCTCTCCAAGCTGCCTCCTCACCTGGGGGCTGGGACACCTGATTACAGGAACAACGCAACCCACAAAGGAGACAGGACGTGACTCACAAGCCGGGCACTTAGACCCCTGTGGCACTCACCCAGAAATCATGCCAGGAGCTACACAAAACCATGGAAAAAACATGATGTACCTTTGGAAACATCAAATTTACTCCCAGTTTTAGTTGAAGATAAGAGCATGAATCAGTAATTTAAAAGTTGTTAATATTAAAGCAAATATGCATTATGGAGTACGATGCCATTGTTGCACAAATTTTTAAGCTAAAACTCTAATCCTTACTTGCCTAGTTCCATTTCCAGCTGTACCATTACATGTGGGAGGAGGGAGTGAGGGGTGGATTCTCTTTTTTCATTAAACATGGTCTTCAAAGAATATGTGAAGTTGGTATAAGAAGTTTCTATCACAGCAAGCCCAGAAAGCTACCAGTGGTCCTTGGTCTGCAGATTCTCTTTAAAATCAGGAATCGTGGACTTCCGCCAGATCTAGGTCAGGTAAACTGAGGGCTGGGCGGACATAATCCCATCCATACACCACACACCCTCCTGTGAGCAGGACTGAAGCTCCTCCCTCCACCCCCCTTCTCGCCGGCTGCACCGCCCCAAGCACACCCCTGGTGGGCAGGCTCCTCCCACTCGGTTACCCAGTTTACATCGTAACTTTTCTTCAACCCCTCCTGACCAGGGAAACATTCAGCAAGTACTGTAATTTTCATTTATGTGGATGGCTGCATGATTACTAAAAAAAAGTAAGGTCACCAATTTGGTTTGTCTCTAAAAACTTTTTATTGTGCCCTGGCCGGTGTGGCTCAGTTGGTTGGAGCAGCAACCTGTAACCCAAAGGTTGCAGTTTAATTGTACTCAGAGTGCATACGTAGGTTGAACTCAATTCCCTATCTGAGCAAATACAGGAGGCAGCCAAACTCTCATGCATGTTTCTCTCTCTCCCTTCCTCTCTCTCTAAGAACAATGAAAAGAAAAAAAAAGGCCTCAGGTAAGGATAAAAATGTAAAAGTTTTATTGTAAAATATATTACATTAAAAAGTGCATAACCATGGCAGCCTGCTTCCAAGGTGGCCTCAATGCTCCTGCCTCCAATATTCATGCTCCTCTCCCACAACGAACAGGGCTGGCGGGAATAACCAATACGATTCTAGAGAAATGATGGAGTGTGACTCCAAAGGCTAGGAGAAAGAGCAGCCTCCCCTCATTCTCTCAGGAGGAAAGCTGGCTCCCATTTCGTGAAGACACTCAGGTGCTCTAGAAACAAGTCCACGCACTGAGGAACTGAGACCTCCGCAAAGAGCCAAGGGAGTTAGCCCTCTTAAGAGCAACAGATTCTCCAGCCCAGTGAAGCCTTCGGTCATGGCTGCTTCAGCTGCTATCTTGACTGCAATGCCATGCAAGACCCCAGGTTAGTTAGAGCCACCCAGCTGAGCTGCTCCTGACTTCCTGACCTACACAGAAGCTGTGAGGCCACAGATGTTTATCACTGTTTTCAGCTGCTAGGTTTTGAGGCAAGGTTATACAGTGATAACAACATGTCAGATTAAAGAATGATAAAATAAAGCCCACGTACCTAATACCCAGTCGATGGTACTGGGGTTTGGGTATGGTTTGTTTGTTTGTTTGTTTGTTTGCAAGACCTGAGTGCCCCTTCCTCTCTCACCTTCTACTCCCCCTCACCGTAACCTGCCTCCCTGCACAGATAAATACCAGCCTGAATTCTGAGTTAATTATTCCTTTGCTCCTCTTTATGGTTTTACCACATAGGTATTCTCAACACATTGCTGTATGTTGCCTGGTTGTAAGCCTCATATAAACAAAACAAACTGTATATATTCTTTTAAGACTTGCCTCTTAAGATTTTTAAATTCATCCCTATTGACTCATGGCTGGAGTAGATTTCCCCCCCCATATATTTCTCATTGTATGAACATATCCACAATTTACTGCTCTGTTCTACTGTTGAGGATCATCTGGGGAGTTTTCCGTTTTTTGCTCTAGGAATAATGCTGCCATTTACAGCCTAGTGCTCCTCGCCCAGAGGTCCCAGCCAGTTTCTCCAAGACACATACCTAGCAGAGGGGAGCTGGATTTGGGATTGCAAAATTCAACTCTCCTAAGGAATGTCAAACTATTTTTGAAAGTGGTTGTATACAACCAATTCTTATGCCACATTTCTTGGCTGTCTCTAAATAAAAGCCATGCCTGTTGTGCAAAAGCTTTCAACCAACAAAAGAGAAAGTTTTTCCTATTTGCAGCATCACTACTGCAAATAAATAGCACTCCAAAGTAGTGACCCAGACAGCTGCAGGGTATTAGTCAAAGGACATTGGTGCAGACTTCAGAATGATGATGCAGACCCGGCCAGCACCACACATGGCCCTCGGGGATAAGCCAAATTGGATTTCTAGACCGTCGTTAAATTCACAGTTTTCCTCCCGGTGGACTCACACGCATGGTCCCATCTTATTACTGTATCTCAGAGGGGGCGAAATTTAACTCACATGCAACCCAGCCCAATTCAAGATTAAAGCAGGATAGTCAAATCACTTCAATAAAATCACATTTTGGGTTTGTTATTTTTAACAGAAAGCTGGTTGTGTTTTTTTACATATTCTCTATAACATGAGATTTTTATTTATGATACCTAATTTTATGTGTAGTAATTCTACAGAAAATACTTGTGTATTCTCTGTACACAGATACAAAAAGTTCTTTTAGAGTAGTTAATTCAATTTCTTAAGTGGAAACAGTAATTTTGATGACAATTTATCTCTATTTTGAGTAAAAATAGTATCAACATTTGTGTTGGCATTAATACAAAAAATGAGGAATTCTTTCAACTGAAGCAGAAAGGAGAAGAGAACATTTCAAGGAGGTTCATACGATGTCACTGAGAACAATAATGGCACTAGACCACCAGTATGAGGTCCTTTGGTCATTTCAACTCAACCTCTTGACAGTTCTTATTTGTCTCTTTACAATCGTTTATCTTTATGAGGTAGGGTCTGTTATTGCATCCTTTTTACACACCGCAAAAACTGAAGCACAGTTGTGTGTACGCATACAGCTGATACATGGTAGAACAAGAACTTGAACGTAGGAGGTTTACCCCAGAATCCGTATTCTGAAGCAGCTTTTTCAGCCCCCAAGACCAGCCAGAAGGCCCTACAATGGTGACAATTATGTAATAGCTACCAGTTACTAAGCATCCACAATGTGCCAAGCAGTTATTGAGTGCTCTGTTGCACTACTTCTAATCCTCCCCTTGTCTCTCCACACCTGTGCTATTCCCATTTTATAGCTGAAGAAACTTAGGCTCTGAAAGTTTAAGCACTTGACCAAAATCATATAGGCAATAACATAAAATGGTGAAATACCACTTGAACCTTGTCTCTGACCTCAAATTTCACGCTCTTTCTACAGTAGATCTCCTAGACAAAATAAAATGACCTAATCCCAGGCTTTGTGGTAGCAAAATTTGACCTTAGGCCCCAGAAAAGCCCCCTGAAGGAAACAGATGCCGTATCAGGAGAAGGTGTGCTGGCCTCCTGGATGAGCAGTGGGTGGCAGCTGCCACACCTTCGCGACAAGCTGAGGTGGAGT